TGTATAAATACTATGCCATTTTATATAAGAGATTTAGAAATCCATGAATTTGGAAATCTGTGAGTGGCATTGGAGCCAATCCTCCATGAATTCTGAAGGCCAGCAAGTATTCCACTTCTCTTTCATGTTAGCTTTTTCTAAACTGTTATTAATCTCATTCACTGACTTATTTTAGTCTTTCTGTTTTTGTGTTAAGTATTTCTATGTGATTTTTTATACTAAATTTTTATTTCTCTGTGAAAACTGTTTTATCATGAATCTTGAATATTTGTCAGTTATCTATATTCTAGTCTTGGTAACTCCAATATATAGATCTCCAGTCATTCTGTTTCATATATATCTTTCTTCCCAGCATGTCTATTAAATCTAAGTTGTATTTTAGATACTTTGCATGAAAAAAAATGCAGACATAATTTGAGGTTCTGAATGATCCTATCTTTATTAAGAAAAATTTTTCTTTTACTTTTTGCAAGCAACCAATCAGTGTAGTGACAGTTTAATTTAAAACAATCAATTGTTTACCTGATATTGAAAATATAGTGAAGATGATTTTAAAGATATCAAAAAGGGCAGCATTGTGGCTTAGCAGGTAAAACTGCTGCTATAAAGCTTTGACTGCTTCTTTTTTGATTCAGCTCCCTGATAATGCACCTAGGATAGTAGCAGAAGATGGCCAAAGTCCTTGGGCCCTTGCATCCACATGGAAGCCTCAGATGAATCTCCTGGCTTCAGAGTGACCCAGGCCCAGTCATTGCAATCATTTGAGTAGTGAACCAGTGGGTGAAAGATCTCTCTTTCTCTCCTTTTCTCTGTAACTCTACCTTTCAAATAAATAAAATAAATCTTTTAAAAAGGAAATGTAATATCATTCTCAGTGACAGTATCTCATTTGAAACAACAATGTCTTTTTTACTCTCCTCCAATTTTTGGCATAGGATAATACAAATTGTATAATTTAATAAAATTAATAAATGAATTAATGAATCAATGAATGTTGAAAAAGAGGTGCATTTTAATATTTTATCTCTATTTGCATGAATTTATATATTTCCATTTTGTCTGCACAAAGCTGGTAACAATATTTTCTTGTACACCATTTGTTTTTAATCTTAATATTTGGCTTTGATTGCCTTCTTTAATTCCTTCCACCCTGCTCTCCTCCATCACTTTCCTTTCCCCTCCTCCTGATTCTACCTTCTCCCTTCTCCCCTCTTCCCATGTGCTTCTCCCTCCCTCTCCTTCCTTCGTCCTCTGTAATAATTTGAAAAAATTTTTGTTAATGAGCACAAAAATTTATACATATTTATGGAATATCATGTTATGATTTGATATTTGTATATATTTATAATTTAATGTATAATCAGGGCTAACATATCTACCTCCTCAAACATCATTTCTTTATGGAGAAAATATTGAAAAGCCCTTCACCCAGTTTGTTTTAGAATAATGTATAATACATTGTCATTATCTATAGTCAATCAACCTTCACCCAGTTTATTTTAGAATAATGTATAATACATTGTCATTATCTATAGTCAATCGACTATACAATAGAACACCAGAAATTCTTTCTCCTATCTAGCTATGGCTTAGTATCAGTTTATCATTTTTTCTCCATCCTTCACTTCCCCCCTACACTCCCCAGACTCTGGTAACCACCATTATATACCTAATTTACATTAGATCAACCATTTAGATTCCACATGAGTGAAATCGTGCAATGCTTGTCTTTCTATGCTTGGCTTATTTCACTTAAAATAATTACCTGTACCTCCCATCTTCTTACATATGAAAAGATTTAAATCATTTAATGGCATAATAGTATTCCACTGGTTATATGTATCATATTTTCCTTATTCATTCATCAGTGAATGGACACTTAGGTTGTCTCCATTTCTTAATTGCTGAAAATTGTTCTGTAATAAACATGGGAAAGCAAATATATCTTCAAAAGACTTATTTTGTCCTCTGTTGATGGGAATGTAAACTGGTGTAACCACTCTGGAAGACAGTATGGAGATATCTCAGAAATCTGACTATAGACCTACCATATGATGTGGCTTCCCACTTTTGCAACTAGATGGGCACAACTGGAAACTATTTTTAAGTGAAATAATTCAGAAACAAAATGACAGATATCATATATTTTCCCTGATCAGTGTTAATAGTGTATCTAAAATATAATGTATTATATGAAATGGACATTTTGAGATTTGATGATTATTTACAGCCTTGTCTCTTCTGTTGAGGGACAGCATCATTTTCTTCATACAATTTGCTGAACTCTTTCACTTAATGTAGGGTTAACTTTATGATCATTCAGTAAATGGAAAATAGATCTTTATAAAAATTAAGAGTGGGAATGGGAGAATGAAGAGAAAAAAATTGTTTGAGCATGGGCAGGAAGGAGGTTAGGGTGGGTGTATTACTATGTTCCTAAATCTTTGTGTATCAAATACATGAAACTTGTATAACTTATATAACATTTTAAGAAATGAAGCAACAATTTCTAAAAATAAAAAGATAAATTCAAAAAAATGGGAGAAAATATTTATAATCAATATATCTGAAAAGGTGCTAATGATTAATACATATGAGAAACTCAGTTTGATAGCAAAAAAATACAATTTATAAATGAACAACACATTTAAACACAAATCTCTCAAAGGAAGATGTAGAAATGAAAAACAGGGTAATGGATAAAGGCTCACTATAACTAATCGAAAGCTACAATAAGCTATTATTTTATTCTAAGTATATTGCCTTTTACCCAAAAGACAAAGACAATGAGTGATGGAGAGGATGAGGAGAAAGGGGCATCTTTGTGTACTTTGGTGGCAATGTAATTAAGTACATCCCAAAAAAAGGGATTAATATTCCTAAAAAATCTGAAAGAACTACTACATGTTCCAGCAATGCCACTATTGGAGATATATAGATATATATAGATATATATATGGGATATAGATATATATATCCATTATTTCCATTGGGCATGTATATATATATCCCCTATATATATACACATATATATATATACACACTTGTATATATATACACACATATACATATACACATATATACACTTATTTCCATTGGGCATATATATATCCCCTATATATATATATATATATGTATATATACACACATGCCCAATGGAAATAAGTCTCTATTTTTTAAATTTTGTTTGTTATACAAATATCATGTATTTCCTATATACAGATTTAGAAACATAGTGATACTCATCCCTACCCTATTTCCTGCCCAAACTCCAAACCTTCTTCCTCTTTCTTCTTACATTCCCACTCCTAATTTTTACCAAGATCTATGTTCAATTTACTTAAAGATCATATAGTTAACCTTACACAAAACAAAAGAATTCAACAAATAGTATGAAGAGGAAAAACAAAAAAAAAAACACTGTTCCTTAATGGGAGAGACAGAAGCTATAAAATAATCAAATCTCAAAATGTCTATTTCACTACATTGCATTTCAGGCATTCTATTAGTTATCTCAGATCAAGGAAAACATATGATATCAGTCCTTTATGGACTGGCTTATTTCACTTAGTAAAATGGTTTTGATAGTGCCCATCTTGTTGCAAAATACAGGATACTGCATAGTGTATATATTGCATAGTTTCTTTTTCTAGTCAAAACCTGATGGAGGCTGGTGCCGTGGCTCACTAGGTTAATCCTCTGCCTTGCAGCACTGGCACACCGGGTTCTAGTCCTTGTCGGGGCACCAGATTCTGTCCCGGTTGCCCCTCTTCCAGGCCAGCTCTCTGCTATGGCCCGAGAGTGCAGTGGAGGATGGCCCAAGTGCTTGGGCCCTGCACCCCATGGGAGACCAGGATAAGTACCTGGCTCCTGCCATTGGATCAGCGCAGTGCACTGGCCGCAGCACACTGGCCGCAGTGGCCATTGGGGGGTGAACCAACTGTAAAGGAAGACCTTTCTCTCTGTCTCTCTCTCTCTCACTGTCCACTCTGCCTGTCAAAAAAAAAAAAAAAAACTGATGGACATCTGAGTTGATTGCCAGTCTTAGCTATTGTGAATTATGCTGCAATGAACATAGGGGTACAGATAACTCCTTCATATGCTGATTTCTGGAAGTTTGGGTAAATTCCACTGAATAGGATGGCTGGATCATATGGTAGGTCTATATTTGGATTTCTGAGGTATCTCCATACTGTCTTTCACAGTGGCTAGAGCAGTTCACATCCCATAAGAGTGGATTAGGGTACCTTTTCCCCATATCCTCACTAGTATTTGTTGTTTGTTGATATCCACATGAGAGCCATTTTAACTGGAGTGAGAGGAAACCTCATTGTTACTTTGCTTTGAAAAATATTTTAAATTTGGGTAATATAAATATATCCTGTTGTATTCTTTTTATTCAACATATTTTTGGCTATTTGGGGCTCTTTCATGTGTTTAAATTAATTTTAATATTTTTTCTAGTTCTATGAAAATGCCATTGGCATTTTGATAAGAATTGCATAAATCGTTATGCAGCCTTGGTTAATATGATCATTTACTGATATCTATTCTTCCAATCTATGGCCATAGATGTCTTCATTTCTTTTGTGCCTTTTCAATTTCTTTCATCAGTGTTTTCTAGGTCTCATTGTCGAGATTTTTTACTTTATTGGTTGAACTGAGTCCTAGGTTGGTATTTTATAGTAAATTGGAAATAAAGAATAGTTTTAAAAATTTTTTCAGATAACTTGCTATTAGTATAAATCACTGCTACTGATTTTTATATTTTGACATTTTATCTTGCAAATTTGTTTTATTAATTCTAAAAGATCTTTGTTAGAGTATGTGATGTTTTCTATGTATGTGCTCATGTCATCTCCCACCAGTGACAATTTGACTTCCTTTGTTCCAATTTGAATGACTATTTCTTTCTCTTACCTAATTGCTACATGATTTTTCATACTATGTTAAATAGAAATGCTTGGCGGGCGCCGTGGCTCACTAGGCTAATCCTCCACCTTGCGGTGCCGGCACACCGGGTTCTAGTCCCGGTTGGGGCACCAGATTCTGTCCCGGTTGCCCCTCTTCCAGGCCAGCTCTCTACTGTGGCCAGGGAGTGCAGTGGAGGATGGCCCAAGTGCTTGGGCCCTGCACCCCATGGGAGACCAGGATAAGTACCTGGCTCCTGCCATCGGATCAGCGCGGTATGCCGGCCACAGCACGCTGGCCACGGTGGCCACTGGAGGGTGAACCAACGGCAAAAGGAAGACCTTCCTCTCTGTCTCTCTCTCTCTCACTGTCCACTCTGCCTGTCAAAAGAATTAGAAATGCTTAAAGTGATCATTTTGTGTTATTCCAGATCTTGGAGAAGAATTCTTCAGCCTCTCCACATTCAATATTGTGTCAGCTGTTGGCTTGTTGTATATGTCCTTTGTTACATTATTGTGTACCTGATTTGTTCAGAGTTCCTATTATGAAAGACTCTTAATTTTTATCAAGTGCCTTTTCTACATCTATTGAGAATGACACACGATTTTTGCACTTTGGTTGTTATAGCATGTCATGTGTAGTGATTTGTGTATGTAAAAACACACTAGTATCCTTGGGGTAAATCTCTTCTGACTGTAGTATGTAATCCTTTTAATGTACTAGTATTTTTGTAAATTTTCCCATCTGTACTTACCAAGGATATTAGTTTATAATTTGAGTTTTTGTTGTATCTTTGGTTTTGGTTTAAAGGTAATGCAGACCTTATAGAATGCATTTTGAAGAATTATTTCTCTCCTATTTTTGAATAGTTTAAGAAGTATTGATGTTAATTGTTTTTACATGTTTCATAGAATTTATAAAAGGGCAGGCACTATGGCCTAGAGGGTAAAGCCACTGTCTTCAGTGCTGGCATCTCATATTGGCCATCACTTCAAGTTCTGGCTGATCCACTTCCAATACTGCTCCCAGATCATATGTCTGGGCCACTGTACCCATGTGGGAGTTTCAGATGAAGTTTCTGATTCCTGTCTTCATCCTGGCACAGTTACAGATATTGTAGCCATTTTAAAAGCAGGAAAATTGCAAGTTTACAACATAGTACTGCATGTAAAAAACTAGAAAAGCAAGCTGCCTATATCATCAGATAGTAAAATGAAATAAAACAGAAGTCAGAACATTGGTAAATGACTCCAAACAGGCATAACCACAGTAGAGAGGCAAGAGAGCTACAGAACAAACAAGGACAAAAATAAAAAGAACTATGGCCAGCACTGTGGAACAACAGGTTAAGCTGCTGTGAGCAATGCTGACATTTTATATTTAAGTGTTAGCTGGGAGTCCTAGCTACTTTGTTTCTCAGTCACTACATTGCTAATACTCCTATGAAGTAAGTACTTAATGATCCATATGTTTGGGGCCCTTCCACCCATGTGGGAGGCTAAAATGGAATTTAGGCCTCCTGGCTTTGGTCTCACCTAGACATGGCTGTTTCAGCCATCTGTGGTAGTGAAGTAGTGAATATAAGAACTCTGTGTACATGTTTTGCTCTGTCATTGTCTTTTAATGGAAAAAAAATTAAACATTGGCCCAGAAACAATCCCAGGAAGATAGTTTGGACATTTGGCCACCAAAGCAATACTTATGAATCCACTTCAATCTATAAATAGATTGGTAATATGGACAAATGAGACAGTCTACACACAAATCTGCGATTCACATGACTGAAAAAGCCACAAGACAAATCCTACCTAGGACAAAAAAAAACAACATCCAACTCTAATAGTACAGCATTATGGCTGGCATGTGAGGTAACACAACTGTGGTCACATTACTGATCTGTACTAGAATAAATGGAGGAAGACTCATGTGCAGGCAGTGAAAGAGTTGTACCAAATACTTTGCAAATGTTAGGGTTGTATTTCAAACTGAGTAGTATAGAATGAGTATTTACTTACAAAAAATTACATGTGGATATCGTCCCCCTACTCATAATAAGTGCAGGCAAAACAGCAGATTATATGGCACAGAGACTAATGTAGATTTCAAAGACTGCATAGCCAGCCTCTGCAGTACAGTGTTACACCCTCATGTGAATTCCCTAATACCTGCAGAGATGTGATGTTAAACAGGTATTTTTCCACCTTCATTACTGTTTTGCAGAATAATATTGAGTAATTTTGCTAGCACTTATTTTATGTACTAATAATTTTGTGGATAATTTTGCTGATGCTTGTTGAAATCTGCCTCAGAGTAAAAGCTTTGTCCACTTCCACTGCCTTTGTAGAGTTCTTCCTCTAAGATCCCTGATAGTGAGATCTGGCTTATGGTAGAAAGTTTTCCTATATTCACATGCTTTCTCACCTGTGAGTTCTTTGATGTGTGCTTAACACTGACTTCTGGCATCAGGAATTTTCATAATCACTTCATTAAAAGGTGTTTCTTCCTTTTTGTGAGTTTTGCCTTCTGTTGAGATGTAGCTTCTGGCAAAAAGTCTTTTCTTATCCATAGCACTGACAAGTTATCTCTTACATGTGAGTTCTTTGATGCCTTCTGAAGTTTGAATTCTGGGAAAATGTTTTCCACATTCATCACATTGATAAGGTTTCTCCCCTGTGTGAACTCTCTGATGTGTAATGAGTTGTGAGTTATTACAAAAGACTTTTCCACATGTATTGCATTCATAAATTTTCTCTGATCTATGCATTCTCTGATGGGTAAAGAGTTGTGATTTCCAACAAACGGGTTTTCCACACATTTTGCATTTATAAATCTACTCCGTCTTATGTAGAGTGAGTTGTGACTTCTGGAAAAACGATTTTCCACAAGTACTACATTCATAAGTTTTCTTCCTTTTTGTGGATCATCTGGTGTGCAATGAGTTGTGATTTTTGGGAAAAGGCTTTTCCACATGTATTGCATTCAAAAGGTTTATCCCCTGTGTGAATTTTCTCTGATATGTAGTGAGGTTTGACTTCCAGCGAAAGGTTTTTTCACACATTTCACATCCATAAGGTTTCTCATTTATGTGAATCTTCTGATGTGAAGTTAGATTTGACTTTTGGATAAAGGCTTTTCCACCTTTATTACATTCATAAGGTTTCTGCCCTATGTGAATTCTCTGATGTACAGTGAGATTTGACTTCCAGGAAAAGGCTTTTCTGCATATATCACATTTGTAAGATTTCTCCTTTGTGTGAATTCTTTGATGTGAAATAAGGATTGTTTTCCAATGAAAGCCTTTTCTGCATGTATTACATTGATAAGGTTTCTCCCCTGTGTGAATTCTCTGATGTAGAATGAGTTGTGACTTCCAATAAAATGCTTTGCCACACGTTTTACATGTGAAAGATTTGTATCTTGTGTGAGTCATGTGATTTGTAGTATCTGACCTCAGGTAAATGGCTTTCCCACATTCATCGCACCCAGAGGGCCTTTCCCCTTTCTGAGTTCCATGATGGATAGAAAGGCAGGATTTACAATTGAAAGATTTTCCACAGGGGTTACAAGAATAGGTTTTCTTCCTGTATGTGTTCTTTGACTTGTGATAAAATCTGATTTGTAAATGAGAGTTTCCTCATACTCAAAAGATTCATAAAGTTTCTTTCCTGTGTGTGCTTGTTGAGGTTTACTGAGGTAGGACTTTTTCTGGAAAGTTTTCTTTACATGTTCAGTTGTCTTTCCTACAATGCCAACTGACTTATTACAGGTGTCTCCCATATGAGCCCTTTCATTTGTAAAGAACACCCTTTTCCTGTTGAACCCTTTGCCTTTTACACTGTGTTCAAACACCTGCTGAAAAGGCTGAATCTTGTGAGGCTGCCTGATGGGCTCCCAACGTTCACTTGAGTTGCCAGGTACATTAGTGCCATCAGATTTCTCTGCAGCTCACATCTCATCAGGCCTCCTAGGGAGAAGCAAATTGTGAAATAAATTATATGTCTCAGCTTTCAGTAAAAATATGGCCTGAGCTTAAATTAAGTGTTGCTTTTTTTTTTAACAGGCAGAGTGGACAGTCAGAGAGAGAGAGAGAAAGGTCTTCCTTTGCCATTGGTTCACCCTCCAATGGCCGCTGCAGCTGGTGCACCACGCTGGTCTGAAGGCAGGAGCCAGGTGCTTCTCCTGGTCTCCCATGGGGTGCAGGGCCCAAGCACTTGGGCCATCCTCCACTGCACTCCCCAGACATGGCAGAGCTGGCCTGGAAGAGGGGCAACTGGGACAGAATCCGGCACCCTGACTGGGACTAGAACCTGGTGTGCCGGTGCTGCTAGGCGGAGGATTAGCCTGTTGAGCCACGGCACCAGCTAAGTGTTGCTTTTTAACTCTCTTGTGTGTTAAGTTGTTGTTTGTGATTACAACTTGCCTCAAATTTATTTGTTGACTTTTCCAGTTGGTTCCCAATAGGTCATCCCTTCTGTGGGCTGAAATGAGAAAAAAAAAAAAAAGACTATATCCATGAACCATATATAAATGTTACTTGTAGAATGTTCAAGTAAAAGCAATGCGATTTCTTAGTGGAATAGCATTTGAATAGGTCAGTAAAAGGTATTCAGTGTTGCCCTATATATCTTTTTCTTCATAATACACTAAGGTAATAAAACAAAGGAAGCTTTCCCAAATTCATACATTTAACTATGTTAATTGTTTTAAGTGGAGAGAAGGGGCAAGTGATGTCAGGCAGTGGGTCAAACCATTTCTGAGGATACATGCATCCCACATTAGTACCAGATGAGTCCTGCTACTGTGCTTCCAATATAGATTCCTGCTAATGTGTCCTGGCAGGCAACCAATGATGATTCTAAGTGTGTTGGAGCCTGCCACACACTTAAAAGACCCAAACAGATTTACTGGCTTTTGGTTTCAGGTTGGTCTCATTCTTACTGTTGCAGGCATTTGGGCAATGAACATGTAGATGGAGGACTTTTCTCTCATTCTCTATTTCTCTGTTACTTTCATTCTGCCTTGCAAGGAGAACATAATAAACATTTTCATAACTAAGTAAATATTTATAAAAGTTGAGAAACACTTAGTAAAAATACTTACCAACTATCTTATTTGAGTAATAAGCTGCAAACTTCCCAGCAGCCATCATCATTTCTTATAAAAGTGAGGTTTCTTGCTTCCTTAATCATTCAGCTTTGAAGATGGGAAAACTTCATTGGATCACTTACTTATAGGTACCAGAAGAGGACATGTGTGTATCCCCTAGGGAGGACCATAACTTAGAAACAGCATCCATTTTTTGGTTGCTGCATGTTCAGTTTTTCCAGGGGAATGGCTATAGAGATCTGTGGAGTTTCTTAAGCAAAAACACCTCCTTTAAATGTTTTCAAGATTTGTTTATTTTAGAGGCTGGTGCTGTAGTGCAGTGGGTTAAAGCCTTGCCCTGTGGCACCAGCATCCCATATGGGTGCCAAGTCTCAGCTGCTCCACTTCAGATTCAGCTACCTGCTAATGTGCCTGAGAAAGCAGCAGAGGATGGCCCAAGTCACTTGGTCCTTGTACCTGCATAGGAGACCCAGAAGAAACTCTGGACTCTTGGCTTCATATTGATTCAGCTGCATGCATTTCAGTCAGTTAGGAGTGAACTGGCAGATGAAAGACCTCTCTCTCTCCCTCTGTCTCTACCTCTCTCTCTCTCTCTCTTTCAAATAAATAAAAAAAACTTTTAAAAAAGATTTATTTTTTTTAAAGACAGAGTTACAAAGAGAGATGGAGAGAGAGAGTATTCATCCACTTATTCACTCCCCAAATGGCTGCAATGGTCAGGGCTGTACCAGGGTAAAGACAGGAGCACAGAACTCCAAATGAGTCTCCCAGATATGTGCAAAGAAACATCTGCTGCTTTCCCAGGCACAGTACCAGGGAGCTGCATCACAAGTGGGGCAGCCAGGACTCAAGTTGGTGCCCATATGAAATGCTGTCATTACAGGAAGTGGTTCAACATACTGTCACAATCTCAGCCCTTCCCAAATCTTTTATATGCACATTATGATGACAGGTTTCCACAGATTCCTAAGAAAACCTAGTATCTTCAGATTCTCAGTACCACAGAAGGCCCATAAATGTCCCATACATCATTTTTTGTATGCTTTCCAATCAATTTAAGGAAATATGTTCTTCCATTAGGATTATGTTCACCTTCTTTGAGAAGTACTTCAACCTCATTATGAAACCAGCATACTTGGTATTCTTTGAGTTCTTGGTATACACTCTTGCTCTAAAATTTAAAGTTATGTCTTTTAATGCTTGTGCTAGATGCTCAAAATTATCCCATTTTTACAGAAAACTGATTCTCTTATGCATTTCTAAACTTTTATATTATAATTATATTATAAAAGGAGCAGGAAAAGTATTATAGCAGGTTAACCTGCTTCCTGCAACACTGGCATCCCATTTTCTTCATGATTTATTTATTTGAACTACAGGGATAGGGACAGAAAAACAAAGCCCATTCACTCATTCACTTTTCAATTGCTTGCAATGGCCATTTATTTTGTTACTCATTTATTTGAGAATCAGAGACAGAAAAAAGGGAGAGAGGGGATGCCACTATGGCATAGCGGGTAAAGCCACTGCCTGCAGTGTTGGCATCCCATGTGGGTACTAGTTCAAGTCCCAGCTGCTCCACTTCTGACTGGGAAAGCAGTAGAAGATGTACAGTAGAAGTACTTGGGCCCTGCACCCATGTGCGAGTCCCAGAGGAATCTACTGACTCCTGGCTTCAGATTGGCGGCAGCTGCAGCCAATTGGGGAATGAACCAGCACTTGGAAGACCTCTCTCTCTCTGCCTTTCCTTCTTTCTCCATGTAACTGACTTTCAAATCAATAAATCTTAAAAAAAAAAGACAGAAAAAGGGAGAGGAAAGAGACAATGAGAAAGCTCACGTTCACTAATTCAGTACTCAAATTTGTGCAACAGTAAGGCCTGTGCCTGGTCAAAACCATGAGTGGGAACTAAATTTCTGCAACTAATAAGAAATCAGTTCCTCTGTGTGATCAAATTTTTATAAGCATTGATAGAATAAATACGTGAATAGGACAGTGCCATGGCTCATTTGGCTAATCCTCCGCCTGTGGCATTGGCACCCCAGGTTCTAGTGCTGCCTGGGGTGCCAGATTCTGTCCTGGTTGCTCCTCTTCCAGTCCAGCTCTCTGCTGTGGCCCAGGAAGGCAGTGGAGGATGGCCCAGGTGCTTGGGCCCTGCACCCACATCGGAGACCGGGAGGAAGCACCTGGCTCCTGGCTTCAGATCAGTGCAGCACACCAGCCACAGCACACTGGCTGGAGCAGCCATTTGGGGAGTGAAACAATGGAAGGAAGACCTTTATCTGTTTCCCTCTCTAACTCTGCCTGTCAAAAAAAAAAAAAAAAAGAATAAACGTCTGAAGAAAAACAGGATGTGACAGTAGGAAGAAGGACAAGTTTGAATACAGGGGATGTATTTAACCTAAAAATTAGTCTCATTACAGGCAGAAATTGATTGCAATGGGGCTAGCACTGTGGCACAGTAAGCTAAAATTCTGCCCGCAGCATCGACAACCCATATGGGTACTAGTTCATGTTCCAGGTGCTCCTCTTCAAATCAGCTCTCTGCTAATGGCCTGGGAAAGTGGTGGAAGATGGCCCAAGTGCTCTCCATCTTGGAGACCCAGAGAAATTTCTGGCTCCTGGTTTCATATCAGCTCAGCTCTGGCCATTGCAGCCATCTGAGGAGTGAACCAGTGAATGCAAGACCTTTCTATCTCTCCCTCTGTCTGTCTGTAACTCTACCTCTCAAATAAATAAATAAAATTTTAAAAATAAATTGATTGCATTGTTGGTAGTTCTGACAAAGTATTCACCCAGAGCAAAACAACAAGCAGATGATGCGTCATATCAGCTGTTCTCAGGACTGAGACTTGGGATAAATAATGAGAAATGCTCTACCCAGTCAACATTCCTTGAGATCTTTTCCATCCCAGTCTCCCTGTCCCATGTGTGCTGACTGACCTGACAGGCTCCAATTTAGGGGTTTTGTCACTGTCCATGGCTCTGTCCCCTGTTCCAACTTGAAGATCACCTCAGGTTTGCTTTTGCAGTACCCTGTTAAAGGGAAATAATGCTGGGTGTCATCATATCATTATGTTAGAGTTTTGAAAGACAACAGCTTGTTCACAGGGGCTGTGAAACAAAATTGTTGATTTCAATCCTTTCCTCATGTTTCTTGGCCTCAAATTCTATGCTTATCCACCATGTAATCTTTTAAACAATTAATTTGCTTGCCACATGGGAAGTAACTGTTTCACTTCGGCATGAGAGGGGAATAGCACTCACCCAAAAACAACAGGCTATTGTAGGTCTCCATCATCATATCTTTGACAGGGTCCTCTGAGAACTGTCCAGGTACTGTCACTCCTCCTGAGTGATGTCCACAGCCAGGTCTTCAAATGACACCAACATCTGCAACAGCGCATTTTTTTTTGGTTCATCATGCCAGTTCTGTCACAAAAAGACTAGGAGTGCATTTCTCTGTGTGTGTCTTCTATGCCTCTTATATAAGATGCGGATGATTTTGGAATCTATATGGCAACAGAATGCAAAATTACAATGAAAATGTCTTGCTTCTATATTAATTTCATAATTCAAAAATCAGTACAATGGAATGCTTGTTATTATGGAACTGCTCTTTCTCCTAATGATTTTGAAAAGAGCCCACACTGCAATCTGTAGAAATACATGTAAGCATATGACTGAATTAACATTAGATGAGTTACAGGAGAAAATGTTGAACATCAATTGGGAGAACGAGGAATTTCTTAAAAAATAAATTTTTCTGTATTATCAGATCATTTATTTTATTGCAAACTTTTTTAAATTTATGCATAGTTTTTTATAATGTATTTTTCCATTAATTATTTTATAAATTTTTGTGTGTACTTAATGACTACCACAATTATGTAACCAAGCCATATGTCAAATAATATTTACATCATGGACATAGAGTTTGAAGCAGGAAAAAGAATATCAGTAACATGTATCAGGTACAGTTCACTCTACTTCATATGTCTACAGGAAAATGCTGAGCTCATAAAAATATCCAAATCATACAAGAAAGAGATAAAGGGAAGAGGAAGAAACCAGAAACTTGAGGATGCATAGGAATGGAAAACTCTCAAAGCATTTTCATTTGGGCTTTTATTATAAGGTTTTCAAGTCTGCCTTTTTTAATCTTACAAGTAAAATATACAGTAAGAAACAATTTGGAAAGCCAAAACATTCATACTGAAATCCATGTTAACTTGAAAATTAAGGTTATGACCATGACAGCTATTGCTAAATCATGTAAATGAAGTAGTTGTTCTCAATAGAATTTTCAATTGTTCAAAATCACAGGAAGGAGATCACAAGGTACATCTAAAAAACATGCTAAAACACTAGTAACATAACCAGACAAAATGTCATGTTTCAGAAGGCTGACACCTGGCTGGAATAACAAATACACTCACACACACAAATACACACATACACACACATTCTAAAGGGTTATACTGTCAGAAACAATCAAATTTACTTCAAAAGTGCCAGAAGATAAAGAAGTTATATTATAAACAAGAAGGAAGCCAACAAGGCAGCCCAGCCCATAGTAAGCATGCTGTATTCAGTCCTGGTTGATGATGTAATGTGGAGCCAGTGCCATGGCTCTCTAGGCTAATCCTCCACGTTGTGGTGCCGGCACACTGGGTTCTAGTCCTGGTCACGGCACCGGATCCTGTCCCAGTTGCCCCTCTTCCAGGCCAGCTCTCTACTGTGGCCAGGGAGTGCAGTGGAGGATGGCCCAAGTGCTTGGGCCCTGCACCCACAAGGGAGACCAGGATAAGCACCTGGCTCCTGCAATCAATCAGCATGGTGTGCTGGCCTCAGCGTGCCAGCTGCGCCGGCTGCAGCAGCCATTGGAGGGTGAACCAATGGCAAAAGGAAGACATTTCTCTCTGTCTCTCTCTCACTATCCACTCTGCCTGTCAAAAAAATGATGTAATGTAAATAATATTGATAATGGTTAAAGAAAGCTATTTCTGAGAAGAAACAATGATTCCTTGGAAAACAACAGGTTGAAGAGCTACCAAGGTATGGAATGGAGTCAACAAAGTCTGTGTCTCAAGTACACAGCACAGGCCACTCTCCACATGTATCCTCAGTATGGTCATATTGCCATGAGACAGTGCTGCTATCCTCCAGAATTCCTAAATTATTTTTAAAATGAAATTATAAAAAAGGAATGGCTGTCGTGATTATCCTCCTCCTTTTTAAATCATGTACACTGATTAAAAACAAAGCAGTCACCTTGTCTGCTCATGACACACAGGTCTAACAATCAAGAGAAGCCACATCTGGACATGATACATTTCTGGTTTCATTCACAGAACTTGAATTTGATTTCAAAGTTGAGAATAGATGATATTTTTTTAAGTTTGTCTCTCTGGGTATGGAATGAAGTTAAGACACTTGTGAGATAAGATTAACTGATGTGTGGTGACCACTGCTCACTCAACTTCAGTATTGTTTCTTGTGAGAAAATCACATATCCTCTCCCATTCTAGAACTCACACAAGTTCACATGATTCTCACTCAGCAAATATCAGTAGATATGAATTGTGTCACTTCTAGGAGAGCTTTACTTGGTCCAATGGCTTCTATATTCTCCAATCACAAAGATGAGCATTTCTAGTAAAGGTCACTATAGCAGGATGAAGAAAAATAGGAGATCTGAAACACACTTTAAATGTGGAAGCCCTGCAGTGTCTGGGAGTCACTTGTCACCTAATTATACCCTAACTTTTCAACCCTATTGTTGTGAGACACTAAAAAATAGAGCATCTGTTACAGCAGTTCACTTTAATAGATGGATCTCTCTAAGTCCATGGAAGGGGGCAAGAAATGCACGGAGGCTAGGGGTTATAGACTTTTTAGCAAATTTTGTGGAAAACATACACAAAATAAAATTAAAAGTGAACCCACAGTTCACACTGAGTATTTAACAACTTGAGAATTACATGCAGTGTGTGATTAATAATCTTAGATTAGGAAAATCTATTCTAACTGAAACTCAATATCCAGAAACTATGCAAGCTCAAATTCAAGAATAGAAAACTCAGCAGAATTTTTAGAGGTAGAATGACAAAATTAGTAACTTAAACATCACCAGATATGCCTTTTTTGTGCATTGTCAATTGCCAAATTCTGAAGATATGTAGCATGGGAGGTTAAATCCAATGCCAAAAATGACTACAGAGGAATGAGATTTTTTCATTCTCATTTTGCTGAGGATACAAATATCTTCCATTGGAATGGGTCTCATTAATATGGGATCTCAGATGAAAGTACTGGAGACTCAGTGATGTGTGGGATGGTAGCAAGTGGTATGGGCAAGTGGTATGGCACATATGTAACTGCAGACCTCACTGGGAGTAGGATCAGAGAAATATATCCTAAGCTAGTGAAAATTGTAATCCTATTGATCAACAAATCAGGCTACAAATCACAAGCTATACAGAAAAATGTTAACATTTCCTGAACAAACATTGTCCTTTACCCAAATTCTAGAGGTTTTTCTCTCCTTTTAAGTATTTATGTATTTGCATGGCTGAATGACAGGGAGAGAAAGATAGGGAAAAAATCTTCCATTAGCTGTTTCACTTCCCAAGTCTCAGCAAATTCAAAAAAGTCAAAATCATACCATGCATCTTCTCAGAACACAATGGAATGAATCTGGAAATCAGCAACTCAGGAATCTCTAGAGCATATGTAAACACATGGAAACTGAACAACATGCTCCTGAATGAACACTGGGTCACTGAAGAAATCAAAAGAGAAATCAAAAACTTTCTGGAAGCAAATGAAGATAACAACACAACATATCAAAACTTATGGGATACCACAAAAGCAGTGTTAAGAGGAAAGTTTATAGCAATAGGTGCCTACATCAATAAATTGGAAAGGCACCAAATAAATGAGCTACCAATCCATAACAGGGATCTAGAAACTCTACAGCAAACCAAACCCAAACCTAGTAGGAGAAAAGAAACAATTAAAATCAGAGAAGAAATCAACAAAATTTAATCCAAAAAAATTACAAAGATCAGCAAAACAAAGAGCTGGGTTTTTGAGAAATAAACAAAATTGACACACCATTGGACCAACTAACCAAAAAAAAAAAAAAAAAGAGAGAGAGAGAGGGAAGACCCAAGACCCAAACCATTAAAATCAGAGATGAGAAAGGGAATGTAACAACAGAAACAACAGACACCAAAGAAATAGTCATCAGAAATTACTACAAAGAGCTGTATGCCAACAAACTGGGAAGTCTAGCAGAAATAGAAAGATTCCTGGACACATACAACCTACCTAAATTGAACCATGAAGACATAGAAAACCTAAATAGATCCATATCTAAGACAGAAACTGAAACAGTAATAAAGGCCCTCCCAACAAAGAAAAGCCTAGGACCGGATGGATTCACTGCCGAATTCTACCAGGCATTTAAAGAATTAACTCCAAGTACTCTCAAGCTATTCAAAACAACTGAAAGAGAGGGAATCCTCCCAAATGATTTCTACAGAGCCAGAATCACCTTCATCCTTAAACCTAAAAAAGAGGCACCAGAGAAAGAGAATTACAAATCAATTTACCTGATGAACATAGATGAAAAAAATCATCAATAAAATTCTAGCCAGTAGAATGCAGCAACACATCAGAAAGATCATCTACCCAGACCAAGTGGGATTTATCCCTGGTATGAAAGGATGGTTCAACATTTGCAAATCAATAAATCATTCACAAACTGCAGAAGAAAAAGCATGCAATTATCTCAAAAGATGCAGAGAAAGCATTCAATAAAATATAACACCCTTTCACGATGAAAACTCTGAGCAAATTAGGTATAGAAGGAACATCCTTCATTACAATCAAGATGATTCATGACAAACCCATGGACAGCATCATACTGAATGGGGAAAAGTTGAAACCATTCCCACTGAGATCCGGTACTAGACAGGGATGTCCACTCTCACCACTGTTATTCAATATAATACTGGAAGTTTTAGCCAGAGCTATTAGGCAATAAAAAGAAATCAAAGGGATTTAAATTGTAAAGGAAGAAGTCAAACTATCCCTCTTTGCAGATGATATGATCTGCAACTCTACCAAGAGACTATTGGAATCATAGAAGAGTTTGGTAAAGTAGCAGGTTACAAAACCAATACGCAAAAATCAACCACCCTTATATATACAGACAATGCCATGGCTGAGAAAGGATTTCTAATATCAATCCCATTCATAATAACTACAAAAAACACATTGGAATAAACTTAACCAAGGGATTCAAAGATTTGTATGATGAGAATTACAAAATTTTAAGAAATTGAAGAAGATATCAAAAATGGAAAAATCATGTTCATGGATTGGAAGAATCAATATAATCAAAATTTCCATTCTCCCAAAAGCAATTTACAGATTCAATGTGATACCAATCAAAATACCAAAGATGTCCTTCTCAGATCTTGAAAAAATGATGCTGAAATTC